CGTTTTATCTGCTACATATCTGTCTTGGAATTAATGCATTTCATGGATTTGACCAAGTTCACTTGCCTCCGGTCAAGAGTGCTCAAACCTCCTACATGCCTAGTATTTCTCATTTAAAAGCACAGCGTGCATCTCTGCTGTGCTACAAGTTTATTATTGTTCCTTCTTCCACAAAATCCCTAAACATCAACAGGGAATATTCCTAAAGATATAATATTCTTTTGAAATACTTCAAATATGTCTATGATTCTACAAGGTCCTGTCTGGACTGTGGCTGGAGGATACTCTTGGCTTATTGTTACTTGAAAGCCACACCAGACACCAGCCATTAGAGAGGACTTGGCCCTGCTTAATGCGACTTTTTCCTCCCCGTCAATCTGTTCTTAGTGACAACCTACAGGCTAACAGTTGAGCTGTTCTAAATTTGCAACATGTTGGTAGAAAGCATTATTTCCCTTGTGATATGTGTAGTTTAATTTGAAAATCAGAGACAAAAACAAATTGTGTCCTCTATTTCCTCACCTCTGATATAACCATTTTTTAAAAAAACTTTCTAGAGGGCATGAGTACTCACTGGAGAGAGAGACAGAGAGAAAGGAAAATGAGAAAGCACCCTCACGAGGGATGGTCACATCGCAATCTCTTCTCTCTTTCCCCTTTTGGGGTTTGGGACATGTTTGCACATCCACCAGGTGTGTCTCTCAAGCTGCCAGGTCCAGACTTGAACTGCACATCGGTCATGTGGGATCCAGCTGCCTTAACCACTGTGTCACTCGCTGGACCGATATAACCATTTCAACGCGTGACTTTGAATATCAAATGAGATCACTGGTAAATAACGCTTGGTCTGTTTCCTTTCTGCAGAGCTTCATCTCCGTCACCTCTGTGGATAATTTTATGCTTTCGTTTCCCCAAAGATGACCAAGCAAGTGATCCTTCTTGTCTGCACATCATTATTGGGGCTGCAGGAGAGAGGTGCATACTTGAAGGCTAGTCCTGCCTCCCTCCCTTCCCTGACCCTGGCTACCTCCCTGCTTTGGCTGTCTAACCTGGGGCATACACCAGATGGCAGTGTCCCGTTGAGGACAGGATCCCCTGGCCTCTCAGCTCCCTGACCAAGTGACCAGTTGCCTTACCCTGTCTCTAAGTGTGTTACAGGTCAACAGTATCAGCCTTGGGGCCTGGTTGATGTTCAATGTAAAAACAAACACTGGGGAAAAAAATAAATCTCTGTACACGTTCTATTCCCCTTAACTGCAAAACGTTTCATTTGCAAGGTCAATTGGAAAAGGTACCTATGTCAGGGCGTAGTAAACATACACTTCAAATAGGCTTTTGTCAATATTTACATTTCTCTGCACTTTCCCAAGTACACAGCGATCCCTCACAGTCTCTCCAACCCATGCTGCCAGGCACCGGGGCAGCAGAGGTCCCCTACCTCCCCCTGGCTCACTGTTGAGTCGAAGAGACAAAGTTCCACGTAACTCATAATAGCCCAGCGTGCTCAATGGTACGCTAACACACATGACTTCAAAACGTTTTATCTGCTACATATCTGTCTTGGAATTAATGCATTTCATGGATTTGACCAAGTTCACTTGCCTCCGGTCAAGAGTGCTCAAACCTCCTACATGCCTAGTATTTCTCATTTAAAAGCACAGCGTGCATCTCTGCTGTGCTACAAGCCATCAGGCATGTGATTTTAAGGGCTCTGGCCATATTCACCTTTAATACTAAGGAGGAATATACCCAATAGTTCCTCCTGCCTCTGGTAACTTATCCTACAAATGTTTGGTGCAGGGTAGCCAGCACTCTTCTTGGGAAAGACAGCAAGGTATGGGGAGAGTAACACGGTGCTCCTTCTTTCTACCACTTATTAACTGAGTGACCTCAGGCCAGTTACTTAACTCTCTGCTACTCCATTTTTCTTTTAACCCGTGGTATAACTATTCTTTTAAAACTTTCTAAAGGGTGTGAGTACTCACTGGAGACAGAGAGGGGAGAGAAAGGAAAGCACCCTTCATGGGGGATGACCACACCACAATCTCTTCTTGGTGCCTCCTTTTGGGGAGAACGGTAGTTCTTGCTCTGAAGGACCATGAGTCTAATAGAAGGCTCATGGTTAAAACGGGAGATTCTGCTTGGTGACTGGGCTGCTGGTATGTGAGGATGTGTGTGCATGTGTGTGTACGTGTGTGTGTTCATGCACACGCGCAATTCTTGTTGCTGCTACTGCTGCTTTTGGTGAAGTTTGTGAACTGTCAGCTGTGTCTTCCACACAGGAAGGGTGTATGTGTGTTTGTGTGTGTGGTCACTTGGCATACATTTGTCACTGCTGAATTTAAAGCCCACCTCACACACACACACACACACACACACACACACACATACACACACACCACCCAGGATCACCACGCTGGACAAATAAGAACTGAAATACTTTCTCCTGCTCACATTTCAATCCCTTTTCTAACTCACCCCTTCCTGTCTCTGTCCTGAGCCATCCTGCCTCTGCCCTGGAGCAGTCATGTACCCTTCAGTGACCTCCAAGGACTCACGGGAATCTGATTTTCCTACTGAGTCCTGCCAGCTGGGGCCTTGGGAATCTGATACTCGCTTGGATCTTGCCCAGGCTCTGCCATGGCATTTCGGACGAGGCGCCACCAGATCCCTGCCTCGCTTGTGCCCCACTGTGCACAAGGACACTGCCCACAGCATGTCAAAGACAGCCCTGTCCCTGGGGAGACCCACCGTCCCAGGAATCCCACTGCCAGCACCAGGGGAGCCTAGCAAGGAGGTAACACATTGGCTTGCTCGGCCGGTGGGGTCTAAGGCTTGTCAGCAGATCGAAGGTCACCTTTGAGCAGACTTATCTGTGCCGTAGTGGAAAGGGGTTTCTAAGCCTGCTCTTCTCCTTTCTCCAAGTGTTGATAATCACTTGACGGACACTATACAAGAAGGACGAAATAAGTCTCTGAAACCTTGACTTGCCTTTGGCATATTGGAACTAATGTTAGCCTTTCTATGGGTATTAATGGTGGTTTAGAAAGCATCGTAGTGACTGTCTCTTCCAGTTATTCAGGCTGTCTGAGACTGGGCCTGGGAATATGCTCTTTCCTTTTTTTAATGTACAAAATACACCATGTTTTCCCTGATGCAGCTTAAATGGACACTGCTACCTCAAGTTCCCTCCCAACCACATGGCGTGTTTCTATCACCTCCAGGATACGGAAGGGCGAGTGTGCCATCCAAGGTCAGACGAGACAGCAGGAGCAGGACCCAGCTCGGAGCTTGGGTCCTCTGGCACCTGGCCAAATGCCCGCTCTCTGGACCCAGCTGACGACACCAACAGAGCCCAGCACATGCTATGGGAGCTGCAGGTGCAGGGTACTGACTGGGCCATGTGGGAGAGGCAAATGCACACACACGAAGCTTGCGTGGGCCTCCAAAAACAAAAATGTCATTGCTAACAGCTCCAAAAAGAGAAACAGAAGAGAATGTTATGAGTCTGGGGACGAGAGGAGGAAACAGGACATAAGGGAGTTAGCAAAGCACGAGGCGGACAGTCGGCCCTGGGCTGAATTGGGGTAAGAGTACCGTGAAGAGAAGCCACTCTGTAAAGTAAATTGTGGGACCTGAGCCACTGGCCAAACAGAAAAGGCTCTGGGGAAGAACGACAGCCCCACAGGAGGAAAGGGGCGGGTGTGGGCAGTGGGCAGGGCCCAGGTGTCCTTACGGGAGCAATGAGCTCTTGAGTCCCACGGCTCCTACTCTGAAACCACACCTCTGGGTCACTGTCAACATGCTGTGGGCACAAGGGTGCAATCGCAGTGCCCACTGGTGACTGAGCAGTGCCCTGTGCCAGGAGCGGGTCTCAAGCACATTTGTGCAAGGCAGCTCAGACGGCCCACTGCGAAGCTTTGCTGCTTGCCCTCCAGGGCCCAGGGCCCATGGCCCCACCCACAGTCCTGGAACAATCCCTCCAAATGAGTCCCTTCAGTCTCACGTTTTTCAAAATTTACGAAGTGAAGTTCGTCTAGTCTTTTTCATGAAAAGGTCATCTCTGGGCCCCCCTGCGGTGAGGTGGGTGCTGTCGGCGATTGTGGTCTTGTTGCTGCCGTTTGTACAGCGGCCTTTTCAACAGATGGTCTTCTCTCTCTGCCCCCCTGTTCTCACCTGTAACATGATTTATCTGCCCTACCCAATTTCACAGACATCCAGAGGATCAAGTTCTATCATAGTGAATGGGGAACACTGTGAAGGCTAAACCACTCTTTTATTTAAAGACTTCAGAAACTGTCAACATTCGTGCAAAGGGGACCCAGCCACGACAATGCATGTGGCTAAGATCTGTGCTTTTCAAGCTGGGACCACGTGGGAGGCTCAAGTTCAGTTCTTGGTTTAACCTGAAGGCTGAGTGGAGTAGCATGAACCTGTAATCCCAGGCTGAGGCAGGAGACTGAGAGATTGAACCTGGCCCCGGCAACACAGAGAGACCTTGCCTTAAAAAAGAGCCAGGTGCGGTGCATTCACTTGGTAGTTGAAACTGAGAGGCTGAAGCAAGAGGCTCAGGACCAGGCAAGGCCTTATCTTAACATTTTTCTTAATTTTATTTCCTTTTTCTTTTATTATAAGTTTTTACCACAGGGCATGTGCACTTGCCAGACAGAGAGAGAGAGAGAGGGGAAGAGAGAAATCATCCCCAAGGGATGACCATACTACAATCGTTTCTCCTCCATTCTCCTCTCAGGATTCTGCCCCCCCCCTCAAAACCCCCACACACACACATACACACACACACACACACACACACACACACACAAACACACACACGTGCTCCTATGATTTTCAAGCCACTGGTCTGGGATTCAAACTGTTGTTGACCATGTGGGAGAACAGTACCTTAACCACCATGCAACCTGCTTTTCCCAACACTCTATCTTTTATTTTCATTTTAAATGTATATGCAAAGAAATGTTTAGTCTCAAAAGCAAAAAAAAAAAAAAAATAGAAAAGAAAAGAGAAAAAAGAAATTCTCCAATGGCACTATGAGCATTCATGCAAAGACCCTGCCGTGCCTTGGGATGGGACTGACTACAGCTCTCGAATAGTTACTGGCAAACAAGTCTTTAATTCTTATTTACCTGAAAGCAACGAGGCCCCTATTGAACCCTCGACCATCAGCCTTCAAAGACTATTTTGCTCACCTCCCTAAATACGGAGCTGACACGAAGGCAAAGGGGAAATGAAATTAACTCTGCTTTACACATGGTTCAAGGCCCAAGACCAGGAAGCCACTCCCAGTCAACGAAGCCCTCGCACGTGTGTTCAAGGTTAGTGCTGAGGGCCCCCCACTCCATGGAGGGACCTTCAGGTGGCCTTCTCCAGCGTGTGCTTTGAAGATGCCCTTTTAAGGAAGTGTCTTTCTCTCAGCACAGACCTCCTTAGTGTCCAGGATGTTTCGGGTCAGTCTCCCAGGGATTCCTTTCACCTGCCTGAAGAACATCCATCCTTAAAGGTAAAGTTCAGTCGCCTCACTGATAAATTTTAATTTCTTCTTGGCTTATACCTTTTCTTTCAGAAAGGCTGACAGACCTCCCCTGATAGAATGCTAAGCATGTCTTCCCTAAGATGATTAGGTGGAGGGCACAAAGAAATAAGTGAAAAATAAGAAAGAAATAAAGTACAAAGCCAAGCAGCACTGAGTCCCTAGAATGCAGCAGATATTTACATGTGTATCATCTCATTTAATCCTTACAGCAGAGTGACCCCCCCCCAGAGGGTATTATAATATTCATTTCGTAGAAAAAGAAATCTGTGCTTCCAGTAGCTTTCTAAAGGTCAACAACTCCCAAGAGAGAAAGCCAAATTAGACCAGAACCTTCAAAATCCAAAGCTCGTGTGTTTCCCTCCACATTGCCACCTCCTTTAAACAAAACAAAGAAAAGAGAAAGTATTTTTCCTACCCTCGAGATGACAAACAGGATGCACCAAGTGGAATGCAATGTAGTCAGATTCCACGATCACTTCATGGTTTGTTTTTAATTCCACATACTCATAATGGCTGCAGCTTTTAATCCTCTAAATGGTGCTGACATACATTGTTGGTTTTATGCCCATCCTGAGAGCCCAGTCACCATATAAATAAATGCTAGAAAGTGACTCACAGGCTTTACAAATTTTCTTGACTCACTCTGTCAGGAACTGTCAATCAGGATTCCTTATTAAGGAGCCCTGCCCCTGGGGAGAACCTCTCAGTAGCAATGTTGAAGCCATTTCAACTTCCACACACAGATTTTTCGTTTTTGTGATTCAATAGTCCCCTTTTCTGTAACAAAATACAACAGTGTAAGGTACTGTGAAGGGACCCAGCGACTTTCCAGGCATGCAGCCACATTGGAGTGTTTGAATAACTGGGGCTTATGTGTAATGACATAGAAGGGCATAGCTGTTTTCTCTGAAGAGGGCCATAGCGAGCTCATTCTGGAATAAGGGGCCTCTGAGTTGTGTGTTCTTGTGGAATGCTAAGTGAATATGCCATGGCTATCTATACAAATGGATGTTTCCCCTATGCTTTCGCTCACCCATCCACTCATGCAATATTTATTGAGCAACTACTATAATGTATGCACTAAGTCAGAAACAGAAAACAAAGATGAATAAAGCATAATTTGTGCTCTCAGAAATTTACAGTTCCGCTAGGGAGACACTCAGGTAGGCAAAGGTGTGTAGTGAAGCATTCTATGTATGATAATAGACACATATTTAGGGTTTAAAGGAGAACATTTTCAATAGCATCGGGGGAGGAGATAACAGCATTCAGAAAAGTTTTCTAGGGTAGGACTTCCTTGCGAGACACCTCTAAAAAAAAATAAGACCTGTTGAGTTAAGCCAACGTGAAACTGAATCCTAGTTATCCCAACTTTGAGCTGTGCGATCGGGACCTCAAGTTCACCTTTCCAAGGCTCATCTGTACAGAGAGGATGACAATCTCTGTGCCCACCACAGAGACTTGTGGTCGCTAAGGGAGATTCATGTGGGACAATGCAAAGGGCGTTTTTAACAGTCGTGTATAATTCACTACTTTTCCAAGGAGATAGTCCCTCTGGGTCTGATGGATGATTTTCCACTCATGCTGTCTGAACTTTGTATGTGAATGTTTCTTTTTACCCATCAAAGATGCACCAAAAGTAGAAAACTCTGACCTTAAAGATTAAGAATGAGAGCCAACCAACGAAAGATTTTAGTGACATGTAGGTACATGCAGTGGGTAGAAATCACCAGTGTCCCCTTGTGGAATGATGATGTAGTTGACAACACGAAAGGACGTGTTAGCTGCTACTTCAAACCATCCTCTGGGGACACTGTGTCAGATATTCGTATGTGGAAACCTGGACAGAACGTAAACAAATGTGACTTATTTTGCAAACTTCTCCTTTTCAGAACTAGTCAATTATGTATTTTCTGTTACATTTGGAAAATGGAGACCGCTTATTAGACATCAGCCAAACAAATAGAAGAATGATTTCATCAACTGAAGTTCTATCACATATCGCAAGCAATACAAGCCAACTCTGGCATATTAAGAAAAGGAGATTGGGGCCACAGGAAGTATGGTACTGGACGTCCACGTGGCTGACTGTGGTTAGAGTTCTGGACCTGAAGGCCTGAAAATCACACCGGGCATGTGTGTAGGTAGGTCCAAAAAGACTTTAAAAAAATAAAAGGAATTTTTTTTTAAAAGATATTGAGTAATCCACAGAGTCATTGAGAAGGTTGGGTAACTGGGCCAATCATAATCTTTCAGGGATTGGTCCAGTGAGAAAAGCAAAGAATAAATAAATAAATAAATAAATATAGTGCATCCTCTATTGAACTTTAGGCACTGCCAATGCTGCCTTCTTAGAATCCACCATTTCTGAGAAAGTGACATTAGCATTTTCTCTATCAGAGAGAAAGAAGTTCCCCCTCTTTTCCTTTTGGCACCACAAGATCTTTGAGCTCTCTGGGTCACAGGGCTCCAGGCTGGCTGTAAGAGAATCTGAGTGAGTTTTTTGTTGTGTTTTGTTTGTGCAAGGAGAATCTATAAGGCACCTCTCCAACTGGAGGAGTGGAAGAGATGCCATAGGCCCATCAACAGTCACATACCTACTGTAATAGTTTATTATCGCGACTTTGTTCTCGAGTGATTCCACGCATGTTTATTGATGCACTACCAAGTATGTAGAAGTATTATTAGGATAATTAGGAATAAATGTGGGAACCCTGTCCTCAGCCAGCGTTCACTTGTGAGTAAAAGGCATGCGGTCCCAATATGCAAAATCTGATTCTGTTACAGTTTTTGGAAGAGGAAGTGTTCATGGGGGTGTATGATGAGGGCTTTACCTAGTCATGTAAGAAGGGAACAGTTCTCACTGTAGCATGTACCAGAATCCCCTGGATCACATGTTAAAACAGATGACTAGATCACAACCTGTAGTTAGTGGAGGCGGGTGAGAATTTAAATTTCCAGTATGTTCTCTTGTCATCTGAAGTCTGCACTTTGACAACGCCTGCATTAGAAAAACCTTTACTCCCAAAGGCACAGAAGAAAGAAAAATCCAGTGAGATTTAATGGAAAAGGAGACAGCTACATACCGAAGATATGGTAAGGGAGACACCAGGAACAAGGCTGGAAATCAGTTTAGACCAGGCATTCAGGGTGGGCTGACATAAATGTCTTGCCGAGGGTGCTTGGAGTTGTTGCTGCTGGCAGGGCAAAACCCAAGAAGCCCTTGGGCAGTTCTTACGAAACAGTCTGTAACACAAACACTGGAGCCTGACACTTTGCTAAGTGAGAAGAGCAGATTGAAATTTGACTTCTTCAATAAAATCAGTCGTTTGGTTATTCTCAAGAGACGACCCACCCAAGTGTGACAGGGGCCTGTATGGTGACTTACTGAAGGGGAAAGAATGGCCAAAGTAAGTGACATTTGAGACAAAATAAATGTGTAAAGTCTGAGAGAGACCACTTGTTGTGTGAGCTTGGGCACACCCTGGAACTCCTCTGGTTTTCTAGTTTATTGGCTAAAAACAAGTGATGTTTAAGGATCTTCTTGCCTCTGAAGGCACATGAATCTCTGACTAGATAGTTGAAGACAAGGGTTGACTTTAATGGTGATTTCAACATTTTAGGACTGGGAAACTGCAGAAATTATAAACGCGGAGAAAAATAATGTCAACATTTTTCATCTCATGGAAAATACCATGACCTTGCCTCAAAGTAGAACTACAAGCACAACAAAACTAGCACATCCAAAGGTCTTTGTTTAAAAAGTTACAATCAATTTTGGAGGTTAAGAATAGATAATGTTTTGGGAGGCAACAGATATGCATATAGATGAATCCTAATTCAATGCAAACCTGTTAGTTTATTTACATTATTAATATGATACCCTAGAGGATATAAACCAATTAAAAACCCATTTCAATTATTAATTGGGTCCCCTAATTGAAGGGACATAATAAATTAATTAAAATGTCCTCAGCTCTATTCACTAAGGAAAACACCTAAGTCAGGGGACCGATTGGACAAACAGATCTGTATTAAAACCTTAAACTGGGCTCTATCCAACTTGAAAAAAATGTCTCCTTCCCCATAGGAAGAAGTGTCCAAATGAGAAGACTGGACAAAGAGAGATGGAGAGATTGCTTTTCCACTTCAGTCTATGCATATAGTCACCCGGATATACCACGTCAACACGTCAGGACTCAGGTTATTGAATTAACATGTGGAAACACTGAAACAACTTAAAATGCTCCTTTCTTGCCCTGGCCGGTATGAGTCTCAATGAACACTAGAGCCAGAAATGCCAATCCTAAAAGTTCCAGCAATAATGAATCATTAAGAGAAAATTAACTGAGTAGACTCAAAGCCTGTGCTCACCATTAAAGGATAAGAAGAGAAAGAGACAGCTCTTGGTTTCAAGTAACTCACCATCTCAAGGTGTCAGAAACAGGTTCTGAATCTGTGAGGAGAGGAAATGAACGAAATGACATCATCCTCATCTTAGATCAGCTCTGTAAGTGGATAGCTCTTAGCTCTCTGTTTCGTGCAGGAGAAACAAAATGGGAATAATCACATCTCAGAAGTTGTGTTGTGTTTATGTCTGGAGGAAGACGTAAAGATTTTAGCACAACACATGGTAGATACTGAACACAAGGATCAGTTTATTTTTCCATCTGCTTTCTCTATAAAACAAGATGTCATGGTACCCCAGGAAGTTCTTGGAGAATATCATGTTACAGAAGCACAGTGCATACTGTCCTGTTGCTTTTGGCAGGTCAAAGTTCAAGATTAAGAGAAGCTTTGATTGAACAGAAAATTATTTCTTTCACTTTACAACTAGGAATATGGCATAGGCACCAAACAAGACATGCAAATATGTATATATGTATGACAGGACATTAATACCTAACCCCAAGCTTAAGACGTCCCTTGCAACCTTGCATGCTCCATAAACTATTCCATCACCTTTAAAGACAACTCAGTTGTTGTGTTACTAGTCCTATAACTGTTATTTATAATTAAATCACATATTTATGTAGCCCTGAAATGTCTATTATCTTATATTAGCTAGTTTGGAACATTGAGGAAATAGAATATTATTCCATAGTCCATATATGTGATGGTGAGTTGGATCATTAACGCATTAGTTTCTAAGGTTCATTCATATTATTGGATATAAAATTTGTTATTCTTCTTTGCCACTGTATAGATTCCTCTATATGAATAGTCTAAACTTTATGTATCATGCTACCAATGAGCAGGTTTTGCTATTAAATGCAGCACTGCTACAAATATTCTTCTATGTCCATCTTATCATGTGAAAGAGTTTCTCAAGTGATGGATCCTTCAGAGTGGAATTGTTAGACTTTACTGAACATGCCAAATTACTTTCCAGAGTAGTCACTTAATTTTCAACTTTCACCAGTAATTGCTCCACCTGTCTCAAAGTGGGTGATATTTTCAGCTGTTCTAATAATTTCCAATCTAGTAAGTAAAAATTATGGTTTTAATTAGTGGTTCTCTGATTACTACTAATGTTGAGAATATTTTCATACAAGTTTTGGTTTTCACTTGTTATTTTCCTTATTCCAAAATGTTTGTTCAGTTGTTTTGCCCATTTTTATATTGAGTTGTTGGTCTTTGTATTATTGATTCATAGAAAAAATTTAATTAATTTCTTATACTATTCCTTTGCTGGTTTCATGTATTGTAAATGTCATTTCCAAGTTTGCTTCTTGTCTTTTCAGTCTCTGTATGGTGTTTTTGAGAAACAGATTTTAATTTTAATATAGCTTTTATATTATGGCTTAAGCCTTTTGATCATGTTTAAGAAAATGATTTTTAAGGCAAAAGTCATAGAGATACTCTTCTTTTTTTTTTTTCAAATGTAAAGTTGGATTTCCATATCAGATATTTAGGGGCTAGCAGGTGGTGTGATGTTTAAGGGTGCTGGCTCCCACATGGCTGATTGTGGTTCAAGTCCTGGACCTGGCAGCTTGCTTTCTTATTTTCTCTCTTTCTCTCTCTCTCTCTCTCACTCTGTCTCTCTCTGGTTAAATTTAAATAATAAAAAGAGTTGTTTCCTTTTGAAATGTGATTCCCCATAGACCTTTCATAATTAATTTATTGCCCATCACTGATATGTGGTGGGTATCCTACTGTATGTCAGATTTCTATGACTCAATAAGGAGAGCCTAGATCCTTCTGTGCTCATAAAATATTGTATGACTTTTTATATATTGAAAGCAATTTTTTTATATCTGAGTGGGTGTGGATCCTTTCCTGGTTCTTCTTTGGAAATGTCTTGTCAAGTTTTAGTCTTTTAATCAGCTATTTAAATTATAAAATCAGCTTATCAAAAAAATTCTGTTAGTTGTTTTGGAATTATATTTAATCTTTAGGTAACTTTGAAAAGAATTCCTTTATAAGACATTGGATGTTTTTACTCATGAACATGATATTTATCTCCATTAATTTTAGGTTCTATTTTCATTTTCATGTTAACTTCTCTAATTTTTTCCTTTAAATTCTTAGGTATTTTTTATTTTGCTCCCAGGTATTGTGTGTGTGTGTGTGTGTGTGTGTGCATGTGTTTGTGTTTCTATTGAAAATGGCACTGGAATACACAAGTACAATTAAACTATATTTATTGAGTTGAGTTTGTGTAGATATTGTATCTGTGTATTAATATTATATCTGGAAATTAGTATTGTTATATAGAAAAATTGAATTTTATATGGATCAAAAAACACAGTTAAAGTTTACTATTTATTCCACTAGTTTGTTTGAATATTCTTTGATTCCCTTTATCAGGTTAAGGAGATTTATTTTTATTCCTAGTGTGCTAGAAAATTTCTTTTTATATATAACAAATGGTTGTTGAATTCGATGACAGACTTATATATGCTTCTATTGAAATGATTATGTGATTTTCTTCTATCTAGTAATGTAGAGAATTACATTATAAGTTTTCTAATGTTGAATCCAGTTAGAATTCTTGCAAGCAGATTGGTTATGATGTAACATCTTTGTTATGTATTGCTGGATTTGGGGTAGCTAATATGTTGTTAGTATTTTTCCATTTATATTCGTAAGTGAGATTGGCCTGTAATTTTCCTTTGAAATGCTCCCT